TCAACACTTAACCTTAAATAGAACTTGGTTGTATAAGAGTTTGAAATTCATGAGAGTTCTTCCCATCTTTCTACTTCATATGCTAGAGTTTCTTCATCCTCATTTTCAAATCAAATAAATACCTTGGATGAGGATGTGTCTAGACTAGAGCTGTGGTAGCAGGAGATGTGTCAAAAGTTTGTCCACTATATGGATCAACACTAGTAGCCATACTCCAACATTGTTGAGTTCAACTCAACCCCGTTGAGCATGTTTTCACATTTTCAAATGAATGTGGCTCCAAATACTACATAGCTCCTCATTGTACCTCAATTCTAACATTCCTTAGAGCCTACTTAGCTGATGGAAGAAATAAAAGAAGAAAATGAAGGTGAGGAGGAGGATCCTTAGGATGATATCTTTTCTTGTTTCATGTTGGTTATATTATGTTATTCTTTATTGCATTTCTCTTCAATTTATTGATTTGGATATACATGTATTTTTGTTACAAGAATAGTTGTATTTATTTCACATTTTTATTATAATACTTATTATATGCTATCTAGTAATGAACACGGTTTATTTGCATTTACTTTGTTTTATTCTAATTTCCTTTCTAGGATTGTAAGTGTAAAACAAGTTTTGGGTGGGAGGAGGGACGAACTCTTTTGTATGTCCATGAATAAATCTCTCAAAAATAAATCTCCCAAATGAAAACCTATGATCTTAACTTAAGATATTATGAATAGTAGAATTCACAACACTTAACGGATGGCAAAATAACCTTTATAATCTAAAAACTTTTAAGAAATAATTTAAATTTTCTTAGTTTCATACAATAAAACATAGTTAAATAACTTATGAACGTTATATTATGACTAATTGATTTTTTTAAATTAATAGATCCTTAAAATTCTAATTATCCCATTCAAATTAATAACACACATAAATGAAATTTAATTGATTTAATGATTAGGAATTTTGATGCATAAATAAAATTAAATGACATAGTAAGGGATTAATAAATACTAAATTATAACATAAATAATGAAATTTATCAAGGTAATTGATATATTCAATATATCAATGGAATGAAATAAATCTAAAATTAAAGTAGAGAAGTCTTAATCAATGAAGATGATCCAATAGTAAATAAATAGAAATGAAACACAATCATATAAAAAATCAAAAGAAAAAATCAAAAGTAATTGAGATGATAAAAAAATTAAAATAGAGGAAAAATTGATTGAGAATATGGTTTAACATTTTACATTTAAACTTATAACTTCATTTTTAATAAGTGATTAATCAAAGCTTAATAAAATTTTTTTATCTCATTTACGATAGAAAATCCATTTTGTGATCATTTAAGATAATAAACTCAAGAATATCACACACTTTAATTAATTAAACTCACTATAAGTCACTTATTATAAATTCAACACTGAAGAATTAGAATTGAGGGGAATATTAGTGAGAATAAAAATTTAGGAAATAATTAAGTTCATTAGAAATTAACCATATGCAATATCTATAGAATATGTTGATATTGAAGCTATTATTTAAGGATTTTAAATGTTTTAGATAATTTTTGTCATAAGTAAATCCTTCAATGAAATCTAAAGTTAGAATTATTTGAGGACGAGTAAAAAGCTATGTTTGGGGAAATTGTTAAGTGTTCAAAATGTCTGAAATTAAATGTATTATTAGTGTATTTTTATTGAGTATCTATTCATGTTTTATGGTAGGATTACAACATGACTGAGATGTTTTGAATGAAAGTGAAAATTGCAAGTGGTGCCAAAGTGTTGCACCACTAGTACTTTTGTAGTATTGCACTATTAGAGCCTCCACAGTGCTACACTGCTAGTGCCCCAACACTAGAGTGTTAGTAGTGATGTGCTATAAAGTCATCATTGTGGTGTCATATTATGAAAATAAAAGCCAAATTTATGAGAGCTTTGCACACGAACATCAACATACAACACCCCAATGCCACTCCTACATTTCCACAGCTCCACAACTTAAAAAAGTGATTTAAAAACCTGAAAGCTCATTGAGATATCACAAGAAGTCAGTGCCCATATCAGCTCGACCATGCTACAATATGACAGTGACACCACCACCTAATCAATGCTATTTTGAGTGCATTTTGATGCATTTTATACTCTTAGATGGGGATATCCATAAATAAGGAGGTTTAAACAAAGCAGAGGGAGGCTGAACAATGTATGAAGTGTGTGGTGAGAGTGTGGAGTGTAAGTGTGGTGAGGGGATTTAATAGAAATGTATGGAGTGCGTGGTGAGTGTGTGACAAGGATAGGAATTTATGTGATTTGCAAGGGATTAAAGAGAAAATTGTAGTTGAAGAGAATCAAAATAATGATATGACTTTGCATGCATCTCATTTTAGGCGTTTTTTTTCCTCTTTTATCTTATTTTCTTTTGTATTTGTTCATGTTTATTGTAATGATTTTAAACTAATTCATACTTCTTTGACTTAATATTTTTCTTATGATGTAAGTCAATCCAAGTTATGTTTGTGGAATTAAATGAATTAAGTTGATGTAGTAACCTTATAATCATTTTTTTCACAATTTGGTAAATTATTTGTTAAAATCCATCATGATATAGATCTTTCGATGAAAAATTAGTGGAACAATTAAGTTAACACAAACTGCTTTGGTAGAGTAGACAAGTTGCAATTTGGGAAGTGAAATCAATAGAGGACTGTGAATTCCTAAGAGTTTCTGAAGGCTTTAAAAAATTAAATCATAATATGAAGCTTCAATGCTTCTTAAGTCTCTATAATAAGAAGTAATTAGTCTTTGATTGCCAACAATAGAATAAAAAACATAGGTTGCTTTAAAAAGTAATTAATTCACTAATTCAAAATAGTTTTTATATTAAAGTTAAAACTTAAAAATAGATTATATAGCCTCTTTTACATTTAAATGCTTTCAATTTCTTGGTTGAATATGTAATTATTGAATAAAACTAAAAGCTAATTAATTGACACATGTGCTTGTGTAAAACATGCGCTGCTTGCATAACATACGAGATACCAATCTCATTGATTAAGTAGACTTAAAGTTTGATAATACAGGATTATGGATCCATGATATCTTGACTAAGTTATGTCCACCTACCTTGTTATTCCTTCTCATGTTAAATCATTTTAAAAAATATATAGATTTCTTGGTATATCTACTTCTACTTAATATCTCATAATCTCTTTCAAGTTGATAGGTCACCACACATTGAGACATAGTGATTCACCCGTACTCATGAGGTAACCCTTGATGAGATGATTCATATATTCTTTGTTGAATCTATGATAGTTGATGAAACATAAATAGAGATTCTTTAATCGAGAGTTTTCTTAAGAACTCTTTAAGTTGGAAATAAATAAAGAAAACACGTTCCCTTTGGAGTTTCGTTATGGAAAAAATATATTTAAATAGTGATTCTCTAGTTATGGGTAAATATTATTTATAGTTCTTTTTTGAAAATGGTATGGAGTGATTTAGTTCAAACTATTTTTGGGGGAGCTAATTTTCATATCCATGTACTTATAATACAAAATGCCAAACAACATCTTATTAATTGATATAAATGACATAATTATTTATAATTTTATATAATTTGTGTCAGCAGCTACAATAAATGTATTAGATTTAGCAAATGTCTATTATTGAAGTTTATATTACTAAGTCTGCATTAAATTTTTTTGTGATTTTGTTAAGTTCATGACAAGGTTTGATCAAGTTTTAATAAGGTTTGAATCTAGTTGTAACCAATATTAATCCTTATTTTATTAAGATTTGGATCTATTGAACAATATTGTAGCATATTGAAAGAGATTAAAACCATGATTTAATAGTTTCAAATAAGATTCATCAAGTTGTGAAGAGTTTTAAATGATCTTAAATTATGTTTCCTTATTCAAACTTTGTCCAAAAAGGGTTCAAATAAGTTCTATAGATGCTTACAACTTTGGAGCATTAATCATAGTATAATATGAACAAAATATGAACAAGAACAAGAAAAACATGTATTATAGCTTCATTATACAAATGGGAAACAAAAATTGTCATTAAAGAATTGTTTCCTGGTTCATTATTTTGTATAAGTACCTAAGTTACTAAAAATAAATAAATGTTTGAATCTAGTTGCTCAATTTGAAGCTATCATTGGTTTAGAAGTTTGAATACAAAGTTCCACTAAGGTTTAAACTAAATTCAAAATGTTATTTTGAGCATCAACTCAATTTTAATGGATGAACACTTGGTTTGAACTAAATATTTATGTTAAAACTTATTTAAAATTAACTTTAAACTTCGTACCATTATTCAAAGATATTTTTTGAACCTAGGCTTCTAATCTAGTATGAATATCTTATTTGAACGTGCATATTGAATTTTCATCCCACCTTTTAATATAAATCGTGACAATTTCTTGCATTGCAGAGGGTGATAAATGCATTCCATGCCAAATAAATCAAACATTAAAACATACCTTGGAAGAGGAGACACTTGCTTAATACATCAAAAGAGTATTAATAGGTATAGTGAGTGACAATGAACATACTTCAAACATGACATTCAAACAACATAAAAATTCAATAGCTCAAGTCTACATGAGGAAGCATCCTTCATAATAAGAAATACATGTGGTCTAAAATCAATCTTAGTTGATATTTTTTTTAAATTAAAATAGTAAAATAATTTTTTAATTATAATATGGAAATTATAAAAATAATCAAAATTTTTTTAATATAATCAAATTTGCTAAAATATGACAATTATAAGGAAAGTTTCCAATTATGTTTACAAAAAGCTATAGCCACCTAAAACATACACTTATGGGCTTATTTTAGATGACCACAACTTTTTGTATTGGTGGTTGTAATGTTGTTGCAATAAAAGTAATTTTGTTTTGAAATGGCTTTAGCATTTTAAATATTTCTTTTTAGGATACATCAAACAAAAAATTATTGATAAATTGAACTCCGGAGTTGTTAAATGCGATGCCAAATATGCACGTACTTGTAGAACACGGAGACCCTCGTATGCGGAATCTGGACTCGATCGTTCAGATTTCAGAACCCATAACCCACACCGAAACCCTAACGCTACTTCGAACACCCAAAAAATGGCGGCAGTCGGGGAATTAATCCCAGCGAATCAATCTTTGAGCGATGCCGAAGACAATGGCGAGCCAGAACCCGTCGCCGGCGTGCTGACCCCTTCGTTTCCTACAGGGAGGGTCAAGCGGATCATGAGGCTGGATGCAGACATCAATAAGGTGAGCTCCGAGGCTGTTTTAATGATCTCCCTCTGCTCCGAGCTCTTTATCGAATTCCTCGCCGAAAGATCGTGGAATGCCGCTGCTGAGAAGCGGCGGAAGACCATCAAGCTAGAGGATTTGAGGAAAGCCATCAAGGGCCACTCCCCGACTGCGGACTTCCTCTTCGACTGCCTCCCCAAGATATCGAAGCTGCCGACTCCACAGACTGTTAAAAGGAGCGATCCGGAGAAGCCGCTGCCGGCTGGTGTGCGCAGGATAGATGCGTTCTTTTCTTCCAAAACACCGGAAGAGATCGCTCCGTAGAACCGCTGAATTTTGTATTTATTATTGGTCTTCTTATGGTAAGTGAAATCGACATGGATATGGTTGTCATTTTGGTAATGTCCTTCAGAGTGAAAAGTTAATATATGCAACTGAATGTAGGAACTTGGTAAAGATTATATACATTTCTTTTCTTTAAGCAACTAAATGGAAAGGCTCAGTAGAGCCGCTGAATTTTGTATTCATTATTGGTCTTCTTATGGTAAGTGAAATCGGCATGGATATGGTTGTCATTTTGGTAATATCCTTCAGAGTGAAAAGTCAATATATGCAACTGAATGTAGGAACTTGGTAAAAATTATAATTTTCAAACGATATACATTTCTTTTCTTTAAGCAACTAAATGGAAAACTGGAACCTAGATGTTTTATCTCACATCTCAGCATGCTCATGATACAGACTGGTATGGTGTTTCTCATGGAACAGAGCTTTTTCATCTTGGTGCTGGTCATTGAAACTCACGGTTAGCTGCTCGATGCCAAACTCGGGTAAGTGGAGCACACGTACACGATTTCCTTCTTCCTCCTCTTCTCCTTCGTACGACTCTACACTTCACAGTAGCCGCACACTTCTTCCTGCGAGTTTTTCTACCCTCCTCGGCTAGAGGCGCGACTATTTCTCCTCTCGCTCGATCTCTCCCGCTATTTCTCGCTCGTTTGTTTTCAATGGTTTGAATGACGAGATGATCAAAGGAAAGCAATATGTTTTCTCCGAGGGGATGCGTCTCTTTAAACGGCTGAACTTCTTTATTTTTATTTTTATTTAATTTCTGTTATTACAATCTCCCCACCTTATAAAAGTTTTGTTCACGAAATTTAAAAGATCTAAAAGAAAAAATAAACATACCTCAAATGAAAAGTTGTGGATATTTTCCTTACATCTTAGACACTTTCTCCCAAGTAGCATCCTTTTTCGACATGGGCTTCAATAAAACCTTCACAAAAGTAATATGTTTCATCCATGGTTTTTTCCCATTCTCGAGTTTCCACTTAAAATTCTTATGTGCTTTTCTAATTTTTTTGATATTGCTTATGTGCTTAAATTTATTATTCCTATTTTCTCGAATCTTGTGATCCTATTCCGCTGTGAAACTAGAAGTAGATTCTTTCGGATAAGTTTCTCCCAACACAAAATTTACTTGAGCTCTTAGCTTCTTGATTTCTCCCTTTATTTTAATAGCTATTAGCATATAAGAGCAAAAATTCAATGTACTCATTACCATTCATCTTAAAGTAGAGACAGCCATCATAGATATTCTTACACTCATGGTTGATCATAAATGAGTCAATTTTTTTCATTGCTTATGAGATTCTTTTAAACTTCTACAAGACTTCTTCAAATAAAAACATAATTTTTTCTATTATGTAACTATGAATTTCTCAAGGCATATAATTGTTCACCTCGAGTTTATCATGTAAAAATGTAGTTTTTACATTTAACCGCTCAAGTATGGGATTTGTTTTAACCCCAATACCAAATAAAACTTGAATTGAGCCATGCTTAGCCAACTAAGAGAACACAACCATAAAGTCTACACTTGGAGTTTAAGTGAATTTTTTTGCAACTAGTTTAGGCATCTTCAACTCTTGGTGTACCTTCTTATCTATTGAACATTCATTTTGCTATAAATAGCTTTCTTTCCTTAAGGATGCTTCACTAAATCAAAGTATCGTTCTTGTGGAAGGATTTCATTTCTTTTTTGCATAGCGATTATCCACTTATTAGGGTTAGTTGGGTTAGTTGTCTTTTTATAGCTTGAAGGTTTTTTGTTATATTCGATACCTTTTGCAACAATTAAGAAGGAAGCAACTAAATTAGTATCATCTTATCGCTATGATGACTTAATTTATTTCTTTAATTTATCTTTGGCAATTGAATATTGTGGTGATTATATTCATGTTGACGGGGAAACATTATTACCATGACTCTCTAAACTTGCTTGGGTAGTTATATCCGATGATTTTCCAACCTGCACCTCTTCCCATATGTTGAACTCATCAAATGTAACAATTCTACTAATGTTCACTTTCTTAGTCTATAGGAATCACAACTTGTGGCCTTTCACTTTAATTTTGTAAGCAAGAAATGCATACTTTATAGATTTGGGATCTAATTTATTATTATCAATGTGAGCATCGGTTGGGCAACCAAAAATCCATAACTTAGAGTAATCTAAAGGTTTGCTTGACCAAACCTCTTGTGAAGTCATCTTTCTAATAGCATTTGTGGGAGAGTGATTCACCAGGTACTAAGTTGTAGAAGCAATGTTAACATAGAATGATATGTGTAGCCCAACATTGGGTAGGATGCAATGTAGCTTCAACATTATAGTTTATTTGTTTGCTCTGCCACACTATTTCTTATAGAGTATGTTACGTTATTTTGTCCCTCAAATTCTTCTACTCTGCCACACTATTTTCTTATAGAGTATGTTATGTTATTTTGTCCCTCAAATTCTTCTAACTTCTAGAAGGCATTAAATTCCCTAGAACAATATTTCATGTCATTATCATTGTGGAAGTGTTTAATTTGTTTTCTTAGCTTCTTCTCAATGATAATCTCTTACTTCTCAGATGTAATTAATATATCACTTTTTTGTTTTTGGAACAATAGAAGTTTTTTGAGAAATTATCAATAATTGACATCATATATTTGACACTGCTCTTAGATTGTATTGTGGATGGTCCCTAGAGATTAAAATGTGTGCAATCTAGAACATTCTCAGTACTAGAAATGCCTGCGTTGAACTTAACTCTCTTTTGCTTTCGTAACAATTAATACTCATTAAATTTCAATTTAATAATGTTTTGGCTATCAAGAAGCCCTTTTTTCTAAGTTTAGTCATCTCATTTTTACTCATGTCTAAGAAGTATGTGTTAAAGTCTAATTACTTGATCATATGAAATAGAAGAAATAATAAGTATTGTATCATCTATTATTGTAAAAACTTAGAAGACATATGATCCTTTAGTCTTTTTTCTATCCGTTTATTTAGACATGCGCTTTTGATCGAATTTCAAAACTCTTCATTCATCATGGTACTCTTGCCCTTCAGTATCAATATTACGTAAGGAAATTAATTCAACTTCAGATAATGACATTATAAATCATCTAGTGTCTTGAAAAATTCATCAAAAATCTTGTTTCTAATAAATTTAATATTGATAATCTTACTAGGAACATTATTCTCTTTTAACATATTTCCCTATGACAGTTTCATTTGTTGAATACTACTTATTTGGGCATATATGAAATGTGCAACCTAATTGTCATTAGGTTCACCATAAGAAGGAACTAGGATTTTTCCATCATTAAGAACTTTTTAATAACATTTGCTTCACCAAAATAATCCAGCAGTTTACTCTTTTGATTAGAAGATATTTTCTTATGTCAGTTTTATAGTTTATATCACTCATATTTAATGTCATGTTTCTTCTTATAGTAATTATGAACTTTATCTTTATTTTTGAATTTTGACATACTCTTTAGATCAACATTAAAATTTTTCTTTAGAGTTTGACCTCAAACAACAAGGCCTTCTCTTGGAGGAAGAGATTTGTCACGACCCGACTTGATAACTTTGAATTAAACAAGTATCATTTATTTTTAGAATAGGTTAATAAAATTATTGTTTGATTCGAGAGCATCACTTTCTTTTATAGCCGAGGACATTGTCAAAGTGGTGCCATTGAATATTATCCTAATATCTGTGATATTATCGATTATAATGCCTAATGATGCTTTTATGGAGGTTAATCTATCATGTGAGGTATAGTTAATGATTGGTGGTAAGGGTGGTAATGATTTAGAGGCACAATTGATTT